TTTATATACCCAGGGCATTCTGGGTCGCTCCTAATTTGGAGCTTTTCGTCACCAGTACTTCTTGGGCGCCTTTCTTCCAAATTTGGTATTTGTACATTTCCCGGGAAAGTCAAATCTCGCGCGTTGCATCACTGTCCATCAAGCTCGAACTCGAAGCTTGCCCTCGCGTTTTTGACGAAATGTTCGGGGTTTCAGTAGAGCCTTTAACGTAAAAGATAGGGATCAAGTTTCGCTTACAGCCTTCTTTGAAGCATTTCCGAAAGGATGATGGTGGAAAATGAGTGGTGGAAATCGCAACTCGCACTAGAAATCCACGACGTTCTTCGTGAAAAGGAAACGAGATTGCCACCTTTCACTTCGTCCTCGCCTCAGTTGAAGCTCAGGCGTTTTCTCGTGGACTGGCTCGCTGTCTTCTCTGAGAAGATTAAAAGCTCACATGGAGTGCTTCATTTAGCTGTTTATTACATGGACTTTTTTATGGACAAGTTTGATATCGACGAACGCCAACTTTATCTCGTCGCATTAACGTGTTTGCTGCTGGCAGGTAAGCTAAACTAATTAATGTTATAGCCATTGGAAGTTAAAGATCTCATCAGCCTACAGTACACATAATAAAAAAACAGGACCGTAAGATGACACTGAGATTAACTTGCTCTTCTTTAGGCTCAAATTTAGGCATGATTTCCTTGATTTTCCAGTCCCGGTCTCTGTGTGTCGAATTAAAAATAAAGAAATAAGGGAATTGATAAGTAAACCAATTCAATGCCTTTGGGCTTTTGATTGTTTCATCTTTTTAGCTAGATTGGCCTAATAAATTGTTCCCGTTTTATCTTTATTTCGTTTACATACAAGAGGTCACAAGAGGATCAGATATTTCCTTGTTAGCCTTGGTGCCCCAAAGGGATTTCATAAGGGATTTAAAATTGTTTTCCAGACTGGAAATCGTAATTAACACTTCGCTTTCTTAAAGAAATTAAAGGTATCAAAATGTGTCGTCATGGTTGGAACTAAACCTTCAGTTTAATTTTCCCGAGGCTCGATATGCTAAGTGCTGCTTACATTTCAAGGAAAGCACCATCTGAACATAAGATCATTTCACAGTTTTTCCTCTTTTACCTTAAATTCTTTCAGTAACAGAAAGGTAGGGGAAAATGTTTGATTCAAAGCTCTGACAATACTTTTATCTTTTGTTTCAGCCAAGTTTGAAGAAAACGAAGAAAAAATTCCTACCATATCAATATTGAATGGCTATGTCCATAATCTGTTCAGTACAGCAGAATTCCATCAAATGGAACTCCTTCTACTCAACTTTTTCTCCTGGAATTTAGACTTGCCTACACCTGTACACTTCATGGAGTATTATCTGATACATGCAATTTCAGTGCAGGACTGCCAATCAGGAAGGAGTCTTGATGACTGTACTAAACCAATGGCTTATACCAGGAAATATGTTCATTATTTCCTGGAGATTGCTTTACAAGGTGAGATATGAAAACATACAATACCAGTTTATACAGAAACATAGTAGGATGACCTCATCCAATGTGTTGCAACTACCACGCCCAGTTTCTATCTGAAGCTTAAAAGCAGTGACCACTCAGCGAATGTGACTAGCAATAAAACCATACCCTCCTAGCTGGACCTAAAGGTTCTTAGTCCAGACACTTTGCTCTCACAGTGCCTCTGTACACCCACGTGTATTTAAATAGATACCAGAGAATTGTTAGTCAGGCAACATGACAAAATGCTTGGAAGTTACTAATAAAATAAACTAACATATATAGGGTACACATACTATTGTGTAAGTTAACCATTTCTGCTCTTCTCCCATTTAGATCATTCTTTCCTGGGGTTTCCTCCTTCAGTAATAACATCAGCAGCGGTCGCAGCATCAAGGCTGCGCCTTCATCTTTGCCCATCCTGGACACCCCTTCTAATCAAGATAACATCATACACATGGGAACAGATTGCACCTTGTGTGAACATCATGTTAAGGTAGGAGAGGATTTTATATCTTATAATATGAGACAACTTCATGTTGGAAGAAACTAACTGGACTTAGTAAGAATTGCCTCCAACATCTTATCTGTTGTATGTTTAAACATGATTATTTTAAAAACTTCTATTTGATCTTAATTTCTGAATTTTAATTTTTTTAGTTACATAGAATTAATTTTATTGTGTACTGTTACTCCATATCCTTTTATCTTGTTATATATTTCACTGAAAAGCCCCAAGGGGACGTGAAATAAACCTATGTATTTAATTATCTTGTCACTAAAAGTGTCATTGGGTGATTAGCACTCAGTTTCTCCTTATATTAGCCATACATTATCTAGCAGTAAGGTAATGAGAATTGGATACAGCATCAAAAATGTTTTCCTTTTACCAGCCAACTTCCAATGCCAACTTTAAATGAATTATGCAGCAACGAGGAATTCACCTTCCTGAGAATTAGCTGGACGTAAAAGTCATTATGTTAGCTAAGAGCATTTTTTTTTATTAACATTTTTTTAGAGCACATGATGCGGATGAGAAAGCCATGTCACAGCAGAAAGCAATAAATGCCAAAGGGTGAAATGCCTTTATGAGAATAACTGGAAAGAATAACAATAGGAATGGATGATAATGCACATTATAAGATGGACTGATATACATACACAGCTCCTGGTGTGAAATTTGAATGTCAACTAGTGAACAATTAATTTTAGCACCAAAACCCAGCATCCTCTACAGTGTGATCAATTAATTTTCAATTTTACTGAAAATTACTGATTCATACGAAATGTAGTCTTCAATGACTTGCACCGGTTAACTAAGAACCGATATTACCCTCTCTGAGGCAACTGTAAGTTGATATTAACTGAAATGTAGCCATGGCACATCTGTTCCACGTTACGACAACAGCTCTATCACAGCCATTGAGCCACTTATCCTCAATTTGTTGTACTCGGCATTTTTGGCCAGTAATGGTTAATCTTGTTTTCAGTGTGTTGGTTCCTTCATACATTCATCATTGGTACAAAGAACAGGAAAATAAACATGTAATATTTCAAAATGTTTTGATTAAAGCATCAGCTCAAATTCATCGCATTGTTGTTGCATCCCTCTGAGCACTGAGCAACTTGTACCACAGTAGCAACAAGGCTACAATTGCCTTTCCAATTTGTTCTCTTCATGAGTTTGCATCCCCACAACATGAATAAGACTCCTTGATTGGCAGTTGCTTGCCAGCAACCAACCTGCTGCCAACAAGCCAGCTGTTCATACTTGGATGGTTGTCTTAGCAGGATCAGCTTCACCAGGATGGAAAGTAGTGCAAATGTACAAAACAAACCAAAACCTTTGCAACATTATAAAGCTGGGTGTAAATGCCCAGACTGCAGTAATAAATTTTTTTCACAACTGTTGAAGCTGTCTGCATTGTCACTCTAACAAAAATTCTTCTTGCAATAATATTAATAACTCTCAAAGCCAACTTGAATTTGATTTTGCCTGCTTGTTAGAATATGCATCACTTTTTCTTCAAACAAAACTTTATCCTAAGATGAAAACAGCCTGGCCTAACCTGAATAAGCATTCAAAAGAGAACAAAATTCTAAAATAAATTGACAACACAGCCGAATAATGTTGCAAAGATTTTTTTTTTTTTTACAAAGGTTCTAGCATATATAATTTCATTTGTCAAATTTCAGTTTGATCCTGATATAGAGGGCTACTTTGAAGAACACCTTTACTGTCAGTAATATATTTGTCTACTATAACATTTTATCTTTCAAATCTCTTCAATGCTCACAGTCACTCTTTCTTCTGCTCCACCATTAGATGGCATTTTGTGCAGATTACATTCATATTTAATTTTGTCCTTAGAGGAGATGATTTTGGATGATTAGTGTGAATTGTTAAAGAAACAACTTAGTTTACTTTGTTGACACATTAAGCTAGCTAGGAGTAAAGATCCCTAGAAACCCACGTTGACTTCCCTCTTGAAACTCTGAAAAGCTATATAGCATCACAAATAACAATATCTAAACTGTAACAAAGACTGTTGATATGTTGTAAATTTATAGTTTTGTTTTCATTAGAAAAATAACACACTTTCGACCCTTATTTATGGGCACAACTGAACACTTGGCAGGAAACAGTTGCTAATTAAGGTGCAACAGATTCCCTGTAGAATTGCATGTAAACGTTCACAATCTGAGCAGAGCACTTGGCTAGTGAATAAAATTTTCTATCNCTTCCCAACTAACCAAACATCTGGAACAGGGCATCTGGAACAAGAATTCCAGAACAAGGCCCCTGGAACAGGGCATCCAGAACAGGGCATCTGGAACAGGAATTCTAGAACAGTGCCCCTGGAACAGGGATTCCAGAACAGGGCATCCAGAACAGGGCATCTGGAACTGGGATTCCAGAACAGGGCATCCAGAATAGGGCATCTGGAACAGGGATTCCAGAACAGGGCTTGTTCCAATGAGGTTGGGTATGAGTAAAACTGTTATACAAATAAGAACATGAAGTACTCCCACAATGTTGCCAAGTGATGAATGGTGTTAGCTCGTTAATCGGCCTTACCTGTATGTAGGTAAGTCTGTCCATTAGAAAACTGAAACAGAAACAACACAGCTCCTGGGCAACTGACAAGAAAAAAAAGTGCAGCAGTAAATCCTGGAGGCAGAAGGTGGCTCAATAAACTTACATAAGAACAATGTATAAAGAACTTACTGGTTTGCCTCCATAAGTGTCACTTGCACATTGTCCACAATAGTAGGAGTGTTCATGGGTAGTGGATGAACAAAGTTCTTTTTAACATACAGCTTTGATATTACCAGATTTGCTGTGATCTAGAAACAAAGGAGACTTCAGACTGAAATGTTCAAGTTTGTTCTCAAGTACAACCCATCTAGTCCCTTAGTCATTTTTTAAAACATTTTTATCATTGTGTTCAATCCTCTGTCCATTGGCAAGGTTGGCCGTTGATCCATCTCTTGGTTGGTCATTTATTTCTATAAGGGTTACCCCATATAAGGCGACATCTACTGTAAGCAATCACCTCACAAGAAGAGAAACCTCCCATAAACTAGGGATAACTGCCTTAAGGGGAAACTGAGATGAAAACCCGCAGAATAAAGGGGAAAGTGTATTGCATATTCATTTGTTTGTTTGTTCAGTCATCTGTCTACCTATTTGTTTGTCAGACTGTCAATCTGCTTGTTTGGTTGTTCATTTATTCCACCAGTTTGTTGATGTCAGTCTCATTTGAGCAAATACAGCTAGTTTGATTCACCTTACTACAGTAGATGGGATTTGCGAATTTCCCATTCAGTCCAGCATAGTGATCATAGTGAAAATGACTCAAGAAATAGGCACGGCAGCCAGGGATGTCACCATAACGAAAGGCATCAACTGTGATCCCAGAGTTAGGGATCTTCTTGTAGAATGGACAACTCCTCCGAGATTGAGTACCAGTACTAGAAGCAGATATGTCTTCCCCATGACCTGAACTTTGACCTTCAGAAGTATAGCCTGTTTGCTTTAGATTATGACTGTATTTCTTTCTTCCCGTCCAACCACCATACCTCTGAGAGACAGAAGCTGCTTGTGAACAACTTGCTACATTTGCGTGATCTTTGGTAGGACCTTTGTTGTCCACTTGTTTCTTCAAAGGTTTCAAACCAAAGAACACCCCTATATCTGCTTGTTTCAGGGTTGCATTGCTCATTGTGGTTTTCTTGTTTTCCTTTGCAAAAAAGGACAAAAGCGATTTCTGTTTCTGACCCTTATCTGATTGCTTCGACTGAGCTTCCTCTTTAACATTTATATATAACTGTTTTTCTTCTAAACGATCTGGGTATTCGTGTTCATCAACACCATTCATATGCTCCATCTTAACAGAATTTTCCAGTGTTTTTGAATCCAAACATTGTGAGATATGCTGCCCTTGTTTCCCATTCAAACTGACACTTCCTTGACTGTCATCATTGCCCTGATCTTGTGTACTAAGACACGATGCATCTGTGTCTCTGTACAACCCTTCAAATATCTGTGGATCACCAAACAACTCGTCATCTGAAGACATCTCAAACTCTTCAGTCTCACCATTTTTCATTGGTTCATCATTTGCCGGAAGGGAATGTTCAGATTCACAACATTCTTCTTGATTTGGATGCTTTGATGAATCCACATCAGAATGAAATTCACCTAATAAACTTTTATTACTACTGTCTATCTTGTTCATCATTTCTCCAACAGAAGTAAGTTCTCTGTCGTCTGAGGATGTGGGCATATCCAGCCCATCAGGAGAAATTTCCAGAGGCTTTAAGTCTGTATTATCTTCCACAGAAGTAAGAGTTGTCAACCCACACTTGCCATCAGCTTCATTTGTCTCTATCTGTTCTGGCCACTGTTGGTCTGAGAAGTCTAGTTGCCTTGAGGATCGAACATTTGTTTCAACCTTAAGAAAAATACAATGTAAAGAACTAGTTTAAATTAATAATGGACAGTTCCAACTACTAAATGAAATAAAGGGAATTGATGAAGAAGCAAGAGAGGAAGGGAAGCTGAGGCCAGTTCTATCATGTTTCTTTACCAACACATCCTTGTCGTCATTACTTTCTCCTTTGCATTTTTTCTCTGCACTGCTGTAGCTCCTGGTAGTAGCCAGAAGCTTATGAGAATATCTCTTATAATGAGGAGAAAAAGTAGATCTACAGTGAAGGCCTTCAGTGCAGTCACCTGGAAAAAAATAAACAAAAAGAAAAAAATGAAGTTACACAAGTAGCAATCTCCCAAAACTATGTGGTTTTACAGCAAGACCTCAAAAATGTATACTACTCTTCCCAGTAGACTGCGACACCCACAAATATTTTTGCCACCTTTAGCGTAATCTTTTTGACGCCACAAGTTTGTTTCAAACCAATCATGTGGTAGATTGAAATGCACCACGTGAGGCCATGCTGACAGTTCTATGGCAGACAAAAAGCTGGGTAAGCTTTCCTCTTGACAATAAACACATTGTGAATGAACATCATGTAATACAAAAAAGTCATGAATCCACACAGAAAAAATGTCCTCACATGGTGCATTTCAATGTACCACGTGACTGGTTTGAAACAAACTCGCGGCATCAAAAACTTTACTCTGAAGGCAGCAAAAAAATTTGTGGGTGTTGCGGTCTACTGGGAAGAGTAGTTCTGTATCTAATAAGTATAGAGAGTAATTCATAAACCGTGTGGCCTCACATGAAGCAAGTTACTACCAAAGCACAGTTCACGTCAAGCTCCTGACTGGATGGACACCCATCTAATTTAAACTTACATGTACCAAACCAATAACCAAAACTGACCCACCTACCCATCAGTACTTGGCTTCGAGACTATGACACCACTCCCTGGCAATCAATTGCTCAATCAAGCCAGCAAGCAATCAATCGATAGATTGATTTAGACAGTTTATAGATCTCCATGTAATACAATAGTTAATCCACCTAATCTCTCACTAACTTTGTCTTGAGGTCTTTAAAACTTGATGTAGCATACCTACGTAAGAATATTTGGTTTCCAAACATTCTCTGACGTGCCATCCTGGAGACTGACCAATCAGGGCAGTAAAGGGCATCTGACATTTAGGGCAGCAGCCCTCCATGATGTCTTTCTGTGGTGTTATCTCCTCGCTGGAAACAGGTGAGCTACTTTGATTTACGCTCATACTTTGATGATGATCATGAGTGGTTAGAGAACCTGCATTTTCCAATTCATTGCGAGTACCGGACGAATGTGACCTCTTTCGCCGGTTTTGATTCTCGTTCCTCGCATTTCCGGTGCCTCTGCTTGGTTGCGACTTGCCCTGACTCGCGGCTTGTGAAGCTTCTAACTGACTTGATCTTTGCGGTTCTTTCACAGTGTTATTTGAGCGTTTTGACTTCGCGTTCTTGTGCGGGTAGGTGGATGACTTTTCCCGCCCAAAAGTCGGGTTTTGAAGCTTTCTTTTGAGCTGCTTCAGGGATTTTTCATCCCATACATCATCTTCATCTTCTACTTCCATTTTATACAAAAATAAATTATTATAAACACGGTGTATTAACAACTCTGTATCGAATCAAAACTTTTTCAAAATTCCTCCTACCCGAACCGGTATTCGATTCGACAACGTCCGCCATGTTGAATAATCATGTAGGTTTTGATACACTATATTTTCAATACTTGACAGTGTTATTGGCAATGAGTAAGTCCGCTGGCTAAGAGAACGCATGTTCGATTACTTCATCATTTGCAATCGAAGAAGTAATCGAAGATCGCCGATATCCTTTAGCGCCACAATTTTCCAGTCCTCCGTCCACGTTATCTTCCTTATCCACAATTAAGCGTTAAATCCTGTTTTAAAGTATGAATGTACAAACACTGGAGAGGTTTAGCCTTGAGAGTATAGCGAAAGACATGAATTTCTGGTGCAAGGCTTCTATTGAAGACCTCAATCGGTTCAAGTATATTCTGGGTCCGTTTGATGGCTTGAGTGAGTAAGATCTTCAGTAGAATCTATAGTGAATTGTGAAATATTAATTGAAAGAGATGTGTTAATTTACATCAGCAAGGAGTGTTATGGTTTGAAATGTAATGGTTCATTCCATGTAATTTAACATCCGCACCCCCCCTTATTGAGGGGCTTTGTATTTTACCCTCTCGGAAAAGTAAACTTTTTACCCCCGCCCCAAGACAGGAAGATCAAAGTACAGTCCCCCCCCTCCCCCGTCCCCAGAAACGGCCTTTAAAGACTCCCCTTCTCCCCTTCAGATTTCCTAGACCCTTGACAGGCAGGGGTGGGGGTGCGGACAAAAAATGGAATGGCCCAATGGTTTTAGCGCTCCCTGCTCTTTCCCCAGGCTAGTTAGTTTTCAAACTGGCGTTACATTAATTTTTTATTATTTTTTTTAATTATCAGACTCTGACCTTATTCAAGAGCTCTTGAATATTCTTTGTGAAAAGAAGGAGTTAAAAGTGTCTCATCTTCATGTCCTTGCTCACTCTAATATTAAACATCTGGACTTGAGTGTGTGTAGCTCTCTCATCACTGATCAATTAATTACTGCTGTGGGATATCGTTGTAAGGTGCGTAAACATGGAATTCATGCAAAACAAAGTCTGTTATACATATACAATGAAAAGTCAAATACAAAAGTTGTAAAATTTATTTAGGTTTCTGTGATATAAAGCGACCAAGGGAAGTTCTACAGACTCTCTCCCCTGGATTAGATTTTATTCTGTTGCAGGTTACTGCCCCTCCCCTCCCCAGCATTTATGTCATGTTGTACCATCCATTTGCCAGTATTACTGTGGTAATAAACTGCTGTTGCATTTTGATTTTCATTTTTGTCTTGTGACAAAGGTATTTTGAAACTCTATTTTTCAGAAATTGGCACAGCTCTCTCTCAAGAACTGTTCACGTCTCACAGCAAAGGCATTAAAAAAGCTTCCCATAAACCTTCCATGTCTTCAACTCATTGACTTCAGTGGATGCCTGGCTTGCACTGATGAAGTGTTGAACTTGCTTGGTTCATCTTGTCCTGAACTAAGAGTGCTTAGGGTAGAGTCGTGCTACCTGGTCACCGATACTGGTGTAGACGGATTGTGTGGAGATAATGGCAATCCAAAGTGCAGAAAGCTACGAGAAGTGAACTTGACATCAACTGGCATAACCAGTTATGGAATACAGAAAATGTTGGTCTCTCAACTAAATTTACAAAAATTTTCTTTGGCGATGACAGGGTCAGGGGGGGCCTTTGAGTTGAGCAGTGGATGCCTGACCAGAAGTTTAAACCTCAGCTTGGTGGATTTATCCTACACACCCATCACAGATACATTTGTCAAGAGTCTTTGTGAAATTTGCCCTCTGCTTTGTGAGCTCTCGATTAATGGCTGTTCATCTGTTACAGCGGTTTCTTTACAGTGCATTGCATCACTAACACATCTCAGGGTGCTGAGTATCGCTGACAACAAAGCACTCAAATTTCATCCTCATCTTGTGCAATTTCTTAACAAATCTGGTAACTCATTGCAGATGCTGAACATTTCTGGAATGGAAAACATTGATACTGAAGTACTTGGCACTTGTTGTAAGTCTTTAAAATGCCTTATCATGGCAGACTGTAGAGATGTAACCGGAAGCTGTATTCATGTTTCAACTGACCAAGAAAGCAAGTCTTTGACTTTAGCTCAAGCTTGCCCAAAGCTAAATACTCTAAACCTTCACAACTGCCATTTTACTCAACATAAGCCTTTGGCGGAGCACCTAACTTCGATTTTATCCAACTCTGCAGAGTTTAAAGAACTTGATCTTTCTGGCATTGAACATTTGAGTGGTGAAATTATTACACAGTTTATACGATCCTCAGTCTTGTCAAAATTGAGGTCAATGAATCTTTTAAGGTGTTGTGAGATCACTGTGGAGCCAGTTGAATTGCTGTTAGAAACATGTACAGGCCTTACTCAGTTAAATCTATCTCACTGCCAGAACATATCTTTGAGAGATGCTGAACATTTAAGGAAGATGTCCAGAGGTCGTGGTCTTAACCTTAACAGTCCTAACATTACCTGGGTATAACTGTCAAATTTACTTATTTTAAAAAGGTGTTGGTAAAACGGAAAACCATGTGAAACATGAGTCCAACCTGAGTGAGTCCCGGTTAGACATTTCGTGACTTTTTTTATATAAAATATCAGTTCAAAATTGTAATTCACGTGACCATTATATCCATAAAAGTCGAAGAGTGTGTTTGAACCTAGATTACAGTTTCTGTGAACAAAAATCTATGGCATACGTATGTGAAGCCACTAGGCCTTTGCCCACTCCTCCCCTACTGCCGATGGGATGTTTGCCCGTCACAGACCCCCCAGAATTCTGTAAGCTTGCCCTAACAATTTACCGGTACTCATTTATACACCTGGGTGCAGACGGACACTGCGAGAGTAAATTATCTTTCTCCAAAATTCGATGGCAAGCACTCGAACTCTACCAGCTCGACCCGGAGTCCAACACGACAACCACGAGGACATCGCGTCAACGGAAGAGGAGTCCACAGAAGACTGGGAGAAGATGGGGATAATGGTGCTTGCTATTTGCTTTGTCGTGAAACTGCGTGATAGGGGGAAATGGTGCGGGAATTTTCATCCTTTGCTTCTCTAATTTCCAGTGCTTCCGGTCGGTTAAGTCCTTCATGCTCTTACCCAATTTCTGATTTTTAGCGATTTTGGCTCCTGACCTAACCCGTAAATCGATAAATTATGATTTTTTCGGACGTATTTCAATTACTTCTGGGTGGGAAGTGGTTCCAGAAAGCCTCTAAAATCCTCAATGTCAATTGCACTACATTTCTCATCAGATCAAGAGAGGGTTAAAAAACGGATATTTCAAAAGAGCCTAAAACATCCCTATTTCTGAGTAAAATGGTTTAAACCTAATACCACTTCCGAGGCCAAAATTTTGCGGGTTTGTGAAGGGAAGTCCTTCGGCCTGGGAGTCGCAGAGCTCTGGCGAAACTCGCACGCTGATTGGTTATATTGAAGCGAGGCACCCAGCTTCAACGCAAGGCAGTTCTGTCATCTCTGCACTGAGAAAGAAGACGACAAAAAATTCAATCGCGGTTTGAATTTATTCATTTGTCTAAACAAAAATTGTCGGCTTGCTGCAATTTTTAAAGTTAAATTTCATGCGAAATTCAATCGCCAGCCAATGAATTTCCTTATAGAATTTCTATCAATGACGGGCATGTAAATGTCGATTGTTGTACACGGCTTTGTTCCATTTCATACATGTTTTCACTGTATACTGCAGATATCAGTGCTCTCTTAAAATGAAGACGATTCATGCACTTTAATTTTTTGAGTATGTCACAAGGCAGAATATTAAAGTAGCCACATGGCTGAGAATTTCGAGCCCTTTGAGAAATGAAATGTCAAATTCACTAGTAAAACTAACACTTGATTATTTGGCTGTTTAATATCGACCTCCTAAGCTGACATTTACATGCAAAAAGCTCACGGGGCGGCGTTTTTTCCTTCAATGAAAAGACAGCTGATATATTTGACTAGTCCTTATTAGAGTCATATTACAGCTCGCGGTCAGTATTACACAGGTTTGAAACATTTTGTCCAATTGGCAACAATAACAGAAACAACGGGGAATAAATTTTTATTTCTTAACATTTGTTTTATTCACACGTTTACTGCACTATTATTCAATATTATTCAGTGCTGGCTGCACTAAATAATATCGATCCACTTAGATGCGTTTTACTCCACGCTTTTTACTGGCGAGCACCGAGGGAGATCCTGTCATTTGAATCAGATTAAGTTGACAGGAAAGCTGTCAATCAGACAATACAGACTGACATTAAGAAATAGCAGGTGCTTTACCGACATGGTATTTCCGTCACTCCTATCTTTTTTGACACATTAATATATTTGTTGATGAATTTTACGCTTGGAATTTAATAAGCATTGGCTTCGCTTCGAGACCAAGCTCATGTTGGACGCGGAATTGAAGGGCTTGTAGCTCCGCGGGGTTAGGATTTCCAGCAAATAATATAACGCAGTAGAAACTCAGCTGGAAGCACATTTTAGTAATCCTCTACTTAGCCCTCCTTAGTGGCTGTTTATGTCTCAAAGGTCAGTATTTGATCATTTTGCTGTTGCTTCGTCTTTTTCAGTCCGACTGGGGGAATTGTTAACATTTTCCCAAACAGGATTCCTAAACCTTAAATGAAACCTGGAGAAAGATCTAGAATTGCACGAATGATTCTTCTACTCTACCATTCAGTTTGGAATAAGAATCTTCCTTTCATCACAGGCATAATTTATTAGCTAGCGATCGGCAGATGTCTTGTATGTATTGAAAATACTGACCATTCTGTTTATTTGTAGTTGGTTATGTAATGTTTCGAGGTCGATTTTTAAAGCAAATTTCGTGCCCTCCTTTTGGAATTAAACGTTCAGTACTCAAGGAAATCATATTATAAATCTATCTCTCATGCCAAAACCCTCTGGTAGTTTCCAGGGTTTTTCGAATTCTAACCTATTTTTTCTTTAATTTTCCACTGAATATTAAACTTGAGAGCCAGTATTTCAATAACAAGCCGACTCGTCAGGAACTTCACTTTAAACAACATGTTTTAGAAGAGGTTTGGTTTATCTTAGAGTTATTGCCCGCTATGACATACAACGAGGGATATTACATAAATGAGGTATTTACTGTGGCTTAGAAATGCTACGCGCTTTGAGTTTTATCTGTAGCAAGCGTGGTAAGGGATTTTTCAAAAGCCATGAAACTAATGGTGGCTAGATCCTCCAAAAAGCAATATTTTGAATTCGCTTATTTTAAATGACGCTGCTGAAAGTTAACCTTCGGTTCCAAAGTCAATATGTTAACTCTCTTTTAGTTATTAGTCGCAATACATGTCTTACCTTGTTAGATTGGCTCTTAGCCTGCTAGCAAATGTCTTTGAAGTTGGGAGGGTATATGTAGGTAGGTAGCTCTCAGACTTCATCATCAAGACAACTGATATTTGTAGTTGATCTTTGCATTTATTCTCATCACTCGTCTACCTGTCAGTGTATCGTTATGGTAGAAAGAAATTTGATTTTGGTCAGTTTTAAAACCGCAACCGTCAAGATGATTCGGCGACTAATTACAAAATTATCAACGCTAGGAACAGTATAGAGAACTATCAGTTACATGAGCTTACACGTTTTTTTTTTTATTTTTGCCTATGTTACAAATTCAACTCGAAAAAAATGAGCTAGTTCTTCCCAGTCTCCCTGTAGCTCGGTAGGTTAGCGCACCTGATTGGTGCGCCAAGTCATAGGTTTTAACCCAACCTCGTTCCCNAAAAACCACAGAGTTTAACCAATGAATGATAAATTTTGACGAGAATTCAATAAAAACTAGGGAGAAGACAAATTTTCATTTCAGTGGTTATGCAGGGCGGTGTTCCAAATTTATCTGATATGAGTAAACGGACGACATTCCCAAGAGAGTACATTATGAAGCGCTTTTCAAATAAAATACATTATAACACCGATTCGTCAACTTTGTTCTGTACACTTTTTCAAATTAAATACTAGTTTAGTTCATTTTAAAACAGTGAGTTGAGATAGCTATACTCTCTGTGGTTACTTAACCGAAGCGACTGAACCAATTTATCAGTTTATCTGATTCACACAGCTTCGGTGAAATTATGGGATCCTTCAGTCATGTTTCAGTAAAACTGTCAAACTGTCAACTACAAAACTATATTTTCTTCGGCAAAGCACTCGCAGTGTTCTTCGGTCTTTGTGTTATTCAACAGGCGGTTTTTGCGTAGTTTTGGTCCTAGTTTTCTGTATAACACAATGAATTTTGGCCTTTTTCTTTGACCGCTCACACTGACTACACTAGCGTTCTACTCGCAAGTACTGACGAAGTACCAGAAATGTGATTATTTTATACGAATTGATTCCCTGGCATTGTTCAGTTCTGTGATCAAGAAAATAACCCATAATATCCTCAAGTTGAAGATTTTCTTGATTTTCTTTACCCGCTTCTTTTGGTTTATTTGTACAAATGCCGACCTCTCGCTGTAACATTGTGTATTCCACATCACTCTGCATAGTAAATTCAGGCTTTTTATGATCAGCTGTCTTCTGTGTTAGTCTTGTCAGCCGTGTCGGATCTCTGTCCTTCCCGCTAAAACATCGTTTAAATCACAATAAAGTTGGATGAGACGGTTGATCCAAAACTACAAGATAAGCCTCCGACGGAGATAGCTGAACAAATAGGAATTATAGAAAAACGTGTTTCAATCAATTCGCTCTCAGTCTCTCAGCTCGGGCTTTCGATCGATTGATCGGTTTAAGCACTATGCTACACCTGATCCGGGTTTTGACATGGATCAACCTTTTTCCATTAAGACCGTGTTTTCAGGCTTTCGATTCAAGAGATATAGATCATTCTGTTCCGATAAGATTAACTTTTTTGTAGCCTCTTTGTCACTTTCAATACATGTACTTAAAGACGTACATGACATTGCTAAGGATAATATTGTGCAATGTTTTCACGTCGAGTTTTACCGTAAAGTACGTTGCTTGTATTGCAAAATTATTCTGAAGGGACAGGAAACCTAACTGAAGCATCTTTGTCATGCATGAAAAATTTCTATACTGGAATTCAAGCGTGATTTATTTTGCTTTTGTGAAGAATCGCCTTTTTCAACTATCGGCTGAACGGTTTTTTTACATGGTCTGGCACCACAATCCGGGCGTGATTTAATTAAATTCAAAGCACGTCTCAGCGAAATAATTGGCCTTGAATTTGCGCATAAAACAAACAGAATACCGAACAAACACGAAACGCGAAATTTCGCCAATTAAATTCATTTACTATCGGTTATTAGGCAAACCAAAGCAATTGAAAGACACTCCTTCGAAAAATTTAGGTATATTAAAAATCCTGGAATATAAACTCGATTTCAATTGCTACGATAAATTATTTGTCCTGATGGTTAACATGAATCAAGCAATTAAATCAAAAATATTGGCCAGCCCCTACACTTAGCCGAGCAAAAAAATCGAATAAACGTTAATTTAAAATTGATCTTAAGAGATTTGTGTGTTGATACAGTATATTCAAGGAAAATGTCGGAGTCCAAAAGAATGACAAGCATTGTATCGATTTAAAAATGACGCCAAAAAATTTAGCCGTGTACTCAAGGAACTGCCGTGCAAGGTTTACCGAAATGATAGATTCAAAGCTTGAGCTTTGCTTTGAAAGATCCGGATTTCGTCAGGTTTATTGAAAACACATAAATGTCGGAAACGAATTTGCTCAATGCTAATGTATGATAAATCACTTGAGTCAAGGTGAGACTTTTTAATACAAAAGACAAATTTATAGTAAACTTGTGAAACTTGACTGATATTATTGAGTGCTGCCATGGATCAACTTTAATATTGAAAGTACATGAGCCATGAAGTGATTTTGGGGCTAGAAGCATCTATCTGTAGCTTTATCGCCGATTCTCTGTTAGTTTTTATTTTATTACTGAATTTATATTATAGCAAAATAACGAAATTCTTTAACCTTGCTATAAAGAAATTCTCCACTTTTCTAGAGTACAACAAAGGAGAATTTCCAGTGATGGTACCACGGTTATTTCATTCTTAAATTAGGTTTTTATCGTGTAATCGCCACAGACATCAGTCAGGTTAGAGACATAAGAGCACGACATATGCACAAAATAGATCCTTTTTGACCCAAATTTGATTGGCCCTTGAGGCATAACTGGGAAATCTTTGCACGTAACATTTTTAATTCTACGAAAAGCACGTGCAGGAATTGCACACGGAATTCTGAATCCGTGCAGTGAAATTATGGTCTGCTTTCTTATCTACAGAAAGTATGATTTTTAATTTAATTTACGCGCACCAGTAACAGATAGGGCACGGATATTAGGCGGGTTATGAATGGTTAAAAATGATCCACGTGGTTGTGACAGAATACGAGTGATTATTCTGAATTTTCATCTTTACTATAGTTTACTCAAATACATATTAAAGTTCTCAAGTTCTTGCCATGCCTTAGGTACTTACCTTGTTTGAGCACGGAATTCATTCCCGTCTTGAAAATTGATCAACTGAACAAAAACTGCCAAATTGTGATGCTTTTTGTATACTTTGGGGATAAAAAGTTTTTGAAACAGGACGAAACATACTCCTTCCTGTGTTATTATGCTAATTGTGGCAAAAGGTTAGCGAATGATTCATTTCTCCCTTATTTAGCGTAAACAGATCGAAATAAGAAAAGTTGTTGTCCCAATAGGGATATTAATTATCATAGTTTTACCGATATTAGACTTTCGCACCCCTCAAACTATTTATTTATATTGCATTTTTACCGCCGTTTCCTTACGAAAAAGGCAATCTTTACGCAGGGTCGCTGTTACTGGTTTAAGTAACACTCCGTGTAAAGGTCAAATTTCACAATCTTCATTTCAATTTGTTGGAAAATGGCCAAACCGAAGCCTTGTCGTTTAATGTTTTTCATTTCCTTTAGTATTGAATATCCGGCTAAATAAAAGACGGTCCGGCTAAATAAAAGACGGGCTTCACAGAAAGAAAATAGCTTTTGATTACCGGCGTCTCTTTGATATAAGCACATTGTAAAAATAAGCCTTTTATGTGATTTAATTCTGTTGCAAGTTTTAAACGCGGAAGATGTGGAGAGAAAAAGATTGAAGTAGATATATCTTTTTGTAAATTTAGTGAAGCTCGGGGATTCGCGGAAAAGTGGTGTAATTTGCTTTAATACTCTTGTGAAACCAGAAGGTATGCTAATTTTTAATTCGCGACCCATTTGCCTGAAAGAACGACATTTTACTTCTCGCACAGAAATCCTTGGAATTAACATTACTTATATTAAAAAAGAGTGATAGATGATCACTTGGACTGTGTTGAACAAGGTGGGCTCGGTTATCGATTTTTCTAAAGGTTACCTGACTCAAACCGCGCAAAACGATCACCAAATCACAAAATCAATGTACGTGAGATCATGAATTATTGTCAGGTGTAGTGAATCAAATGCATTTTAAATAAACTCCATAGCGAACACACGGCCTGCCTAATCAAGTCGAAATATAACACAAAGCTTTCACAGTGTTAGCCCTGGAAAAGACGGCAAACGGTGCAACATAATATTCTTTACATTTTTCATTTTGCGTAACTATTGACAGCTAACTACCCGGACCTTGTCAATATTTTAATTTAGACTTGATAATTTTAAGCTAATGAGCATCACCGAGAAAGTGTTTCATATAACTGGGAAAACGTCGACCTTAGGCCGGTTAACGATTAAACATCTGTGAACTGAACAACAACTTTAGTTAAACAGTATTACTGATATCATTGCAAACAAGTCGGAGACTTAAGTATGTCGGCTTAATTTGGTTCCAAAGAGGACAAGAAAACAAAGATTGAGAAAAAACGCAAAACCTACAAGATTGGTCTAAGAGTACCCTTCATCGGAGCAAGAAAATAAATTTGGATTGTCGTAAATAGCCTGCGCGAGTTGCGAAAAAGGCAAAACGGAAAATCCATGATTAGCAACAAGTGCTGGATTTCCTTTGACTGGTAGAAGCAGAGAAGGAATGAAAAAACTGCCATGAATGAGCTTATATGGGTAATGAAGTTTATCCTTTTACTAGCTTTCAGAGAATTATAAATGAAAGAGAAGAAATGAGGCGACAGAACTGATATTTGCTTTAGAAGCTTGTTCAATTTGAATCAAACTCACCCCACCCTTCTCGGGTTTACCTCGTTTAATTTTGGCATCTGACAAAAACCTTTCGTGAGCAATTTCAACATTTCGTGACTTCTTTAAAACGAAACTTAAACGCCTTGCTGTTTAAGAAATCGTTGCAGATATGGAACGAAACGTTTTAAATGCGATACAAAGATAACATCTTAGATGCGAGATCGTTTCGTGACTTGAGAACGCTATTTACCTTGTTAGCACCAAGTGCTTACTCAACTTAGTGTATAATGCTCAAACGTGATATCACGTCCAGCGTGTAATGCTCAGACTTGATATCACTGCAAAATGTAAAACAACTTGAAACAAAAACAAAACCAAAATATCGTTAATAGATGACTAAATTGTATCAATTTTTGTTGATTCATTTGCTGTCAAAACTTTTATTGGTGGTATTTCGTCTGCAATTAGTACTCAGCTCGATTTTTATAAATTCTTTTCATTGAAAAACTTTTTTTGAATATATTTTTAATAACAGCACTTGTTTTTCAGATATAGAAATCATACTGTTGTTGGAAAGTATTTTCCGCCCAGGCATAAAAGTAATAATGTATACGAATGAACGAATATATCAAAGCGAAATTGTTGAATTCTTATCTAACGTGAATAAAAATTGTATCTGCACGCATTACGGACCAGCCAATCAGGAATTTAAGAGCGAGTATTCAAGTACGTCTCACAGAGTAAAAGGATTGCACATGGTAAAATTAAAGTTCAAATTATCCATACGAAACAAAGAAAAACTGATCAAGAAAGTTATTTGTCATATTTTACAACAAACTAATTTTCTTTTAGAGATTTTCCTTTCGGTGTTTCCTCTGAGTTTAATTAATCTTTGTCAAGATGGCATCGACCGGTACTTTTTCCAGCGTGGGAGAATATTACTTTGAGTGAATTATAGCGAGGCGCAGACGCCCGCCCTTGTGTTACGTTCCGAGCTCTCACGAAATTAAAGGTGGAGTCGGAATATAAATTGCCTATCAGTTAAGCCAGATAGTCGGCGTGGATTTCCACTCTTTTGACAAAACCTGAAATCGCTGAGACTCGGTAAGAGTGATAACTTTTACTTTTATTCTACCATCGAAAACACATTTTGTAGACTTCTTATACCCGGGTAAAATAATTGTAGTATTTTTTCTTCATTTTGCATTGAAGATAGTTGATTTTACAAGGTGAGCGATATTTTTATTGAATGATTTCCACATTAGCAAATTATGAAGCAATGCAATTATCGATGAGGAAACTAAAGCCATTTTGTTTGCCAACATATCAGCTTATTTCTCTTCTTTTTACAGCTAGCTTGTTACAATCACGAAATCGAAACATAAAATGTAAATTAAGTAACTTTTGGCATGAGAATTAACCATGTGGTAGTTCCGTGAATGGGAGAGTGATATTGTGCAAAAATAACCACGATATACAGAGGCGAAGAAATACGCAGGCTGGCAGTACTGGTTAGTTTTGATCATTTTAAAAAGGTCTGTCTACGATATTTGCACCGAATGGGAAAAAAATACTGGATTTGCAACAAAGCTGAACAAACGATTTTTTAAAAATCATTCACATCGGAGGAAAGCGAAGGGTGCTTTCAAGAAAGCATGAAATATTAATTATATTCGTACAGAATTGGAAATCAAGCCGGCTTTGTAGTATTTCGGCGGATGTACTGATCTCGAAAAAAAGATTTTCCGGCAAGATCGTACTCAATGGCTAAGTTAATTTACAAATGGAATTTCTAGATTTAATAGGTCCCTTCGATCGAATGATAGCTCTGCTTGCAAACTCAGTTGATAGAGGAAGCCTTCAAGGACGCGGAAAACCAAGCGCTTGCTTTGCACCGCGGAAAACAATACCTCAGTTCATTTCAATGCGAAGAACATTTCAAAATACTTAAATATCTGGTTGTAAAAGTTATCGTCAGTAAACCCATTAAAAAGTGTTCATGATCCATAAGGGGAAGCTGCTTGTAAAAGCTGCATGGCAATATCTCCCAGCTATCGTAGAGCCACATGCGAGCTCTCTAAGTTCCAGGCAGAAATATTTTTCATCCACTCTATATTTTATATTTAAAGCGTTTAGGATTTTCCAGTGATAACTATATATAACTGGAGATTGCAATCTGACACAGGCCGGAGAGAAACAGATAACATCTTAGTATTCATACTCATCGCGAACTGAAAGATTATTCCAAAAATTCTGATCGTTGTTTGAAGCTAAATATGCCGTCTGGTTTCACAAGTAAAAGCGTGAGTTTGCCGCCAATAGCTTGTGAAGCTGTAAAACGCAAGGCCCGGCTCACAGCGAGGGCCATAGATTCTGATGCTGAAGAGCTTTCAGTTTTTCAGCTCGAACTGGTCATCCACAGGAGAATTTTATTGAATTCTATTTTACAATTTTAAAAGGTACCTCATAAAACGGATCTTGCTATTTTTTAGTTGCGAGAATCAATAACAAACGGATTGCATTGGCAGCACGCGAGGAAATGTTTTCACAACACGCACAGAAAACGAAAGCTATGAGACGAACTGTAAACAGGGTAAAGGGGAAAATAAAATAGAAAGCTTGCATGCTTAGTTGTTGTCAATTCAGTAATTCAACGCAGGTGGTAAGGCGTTAGTATGCTGACGAAAAATAGAAAGTGCAGATCGTACGTACAACCAGCAGTTGGTTAAAATCTTTTCTGAAATAAAACGATTTTCCGTTCGAACCACTTAATCACGTGCCAACTGTGAGTGCAAAGATACCCCCTGGCGTGGTTTCCTCTAAGGCGCATCGCTCTTCTCACGAATTCGGCCAAACGCTCTGTAGTCATTTTATAAGAGGAACAAAGAAGCCCTCCTCTTTTGATCTTAAAATCTCATTTTCTACCAAAAAACGTACACTTAATTGATTTCTGCTTACGGATAGGAAGTCTTTAAATTTATTTCCCACCGAATGTATTAACTCTGCGATGCACGTGTGCCGTGTCCCAAGATCACACTTGCTTAATTTGGCGGAACCAGTGTGTTTTTTTGTATTATGCTAGGAATAATATTTGCAGAAGAAAAATCCCACTTAAGTACAAATGAACCAAGAAGTAAGCAGTTCGTGAAGTTGAATGACATTCCGTGCCCGGGATAACGTTATTTAGAAATCGCTCTCGACTGGAAGCTTCGATAAAATAGGCTGATATGCTAAATTTACTCGCTTATTTACTGAACCGCTTAGCAGTTCAAACTTGCTGCAAATTGCACGGCAACAAACCTGGGCATTTGAATAAATTAAAATCTCTGTTAAGCCTTTCCGTTTTTAAGTGTCACCTTTAAGCTCATCGGCCTTAGCTGATCTTTACCTTTCTTTAGTATAGTGGCAACGTTTGCGGGTGCGAGCGACGAAACGCCGACAAACCTGATGCAATCTTGTCAGATTGTAGACCTGCTTGTGCATGCATATTCTAAACTATATATGCTGTGCAAATGTCTTCGAGTCTCTATCATTGCCGTTGGTGCAGTTTGCTAGAGAGATTTATTTAAGTACTTAAGGATTTTTTTTCCGGAGTCGCAACAAAAGATGTTGCGTCACGCCGCAAACAAATCAGACATACTGACAAGACTGAACTGAAAAAGGCACACAGGACAAAATGCGACCTAACGATATTGGTTTTAGTCACTGCTTGTCGTACAGTGGTTTCGAACGCAAAATTTACATGTTAGTGATTTCGGGAAGCGTGGTTCGATTTCGTTCAGGGTGGGTTGAACAAAAGGTGTTGTGAATGACATTAACGAGAAAAAACTTATAGGGAAGCGTAGAAAATAGGCTCTGTGCTGATTTGAATAATCGAATATCGTATGTGAATTGTGTGCATAGATAGAATATGTATAATTCATTACCACTACAACGACCTCAATTTGTTTTTTCCATTTCACTTAGTCCGAGAGGAAATAAGCGAAATTTACCGATCTATTATATTTAATAATATTTTCCTGAATTTCACGAAATTTTTTCCATGCGTGCCTGCTCGATTTGCTACCAGTGATGAAACATTCCCATTGAAAAATAGAAAGAGGAAGAGGTATACACATATCAAAATTGACGTTTCTATTATTAAGGGAGGAAGCCCTACACAAAAAGAAATAAACATAATTCTTAAATTTCTTTTTTTTCTGTATTTTCCACAACAATATCGGAATAGGAAGCCGATCGTGTCAAATCGTGTCGTTGTGTTTGGAGTGAGGGTGATAGTGAATTCATTAGAGTAATTTCTAACAAAGTCCGCGTTGTGCACATAGAACTTGGTTGGCTGTTTCGGTAATGAAATACTCCTTTTGCCTCCAAATTCATTGATAGCAAAGACGAGGACGTCAGCCGGAGAGTCCAGCCAATCAGAAGCGGTCTTTTACCTGTGGTCGCTTTCTGATTGGCTGTCGAGATTGTTCTTTACAAGATGACATTTATAATCAGACAGACCCAATTCGGCATTTAGAGGCCACAAAAGCCCTCAAAATTAGTCATCTTTGTACATATGAGAAGAAAATTTTACCGAATTTCTTCGATCTTTGCCAAGCTTCGAACAGATCACCTCCCGAAGGAAACCATTAGCTCAAGAAATCGCTGAAACGTAGGTATCTGAAGGGGCTTTCCCGGTTGAAACGAAATATGTACTTTCTTAGTAGCGGTGAAATGCTTCGCTTTGTAAATTTCATTTTGTTCGTGTACTAAGCCAGATAATTTTCCATTTGCCCTAGGGTTTTGGATGATGCGTGTATAAGTAAAGTAAATGCGAGCGGAGATCAAATGAAGACAGAAATAATAAGATAAACTTGTTTGTTTCAGGCCTTTACTGTGTTGGTTAGATGCAGCGATCGAATGAAATTTACTACTACTACTACGAAATACGAAACTGAACTCAACATGTCACGGTGCCGACAAAGGTTAGTTTAACAGCGATCGCGAATGATCTGCCCGCGATAAATCTTGTTCATATTCTTTTGAATTTATCGAATTTATGTTTGTGAAGGCTGATATCCGGTGTAATTCTCTTTTAGGGTAGTCGACAAGTACGAGTGAATGCAGACTACGGTGAGCGTCACTCATTATTCTGTCATTGACTACAAAGAAGTGTAGATCGTGGTCTTCATGCGGCGAAACCACCATGGTGACTGTCATTACTAACAAGCTGAAAAATCAGTCTCTCGAGGATCTCCCGAATAATGAGCCGGAGGTAGGATTTCTATGAATTTATGTTCGTTCGAAAGACCTGTCGTAAGTTAGTACGCTTTTGACTCGATCGCGAGTTGACACGAATTTCAATGATGTTTACTCTTCGCTGCTTTGCTTTCAGATAAGTGCAATCCAACTCCGAGCTAACCCTGCCCGAACTACGCACATTTCAGGTACAGTGCATTACTGATATTTCACTTTCGTGTGGTGTGAGAAATTTTTGTGGGATTTTAATCTTGCTTCGAAATATCGCCAAATAAAAACTGCATTTAATCATCCACGCATTGTTTTTGTTCGCCTGTACTGCTACAAAACACATGGTTCACAATGCAATATTTCCTTCGCTTTCAGAATGCCCCCTCGCACACAGGCTGCGTCGAGATGTGCGCCAGATTATCGGGCACTCACGGACGCGGAGTTACCCATCACATCGACCTAGACGAACATACTGCAAGAACTGTTCTTCAAGCGACTCATCTGCTATGCACAGGAGTGCTCAGCCACCCGCTAATAAGAAATTATGTTCTTCACTCTCGCTACCAGGGTGTGAAAGCGCAGAGGTGCAATCATCCTGGGTTCCACGAGCTTCATCGGTTTGGCAACCGGTGGAAAACTGCGGGGTAAAACCACGGTCTGAATCGTGCCCGGACGAGAAATTTAACTTGGCTGAGTCGCTGTGGATGAACAACGAGGTAGAATCCATTTCAACACCTCCTGCCTCGCCAACACCAAGACCTGCTTCAGCAGATGCAGCACTCGGGGAAAAACACCCATCCACGAAAAACGAAAGGACTGATTCTGTTCTCACGGCGAACAAGATTAGCAATGCTAGAGACTTTAACTTTAATTGGAAACCGAATCTAGCGGGGTTGCAAAGAAGCCGTTCACAACCCTGCTTCGATCGAAAGAGAAGTGGTATGAAGAGAAGGATAGAAGAGGACTTCGACGCCAGGAGACCTGCATTGGACTTGGCGAAAATGGAAGAGGTCTTGATTTTAGATTCAATTTATTTCAGAGTCGTGCAGGCAAAAAATTGTTATTCCTTAATCCTAACGAGAAGCTAAATAATCACTGAGTAGTTTTGAATAATTCATTTTTATGAATATTTTACAAAAGACGGTTTCTAACTTGGTTGTTGTTTTTTTTCTTTTCTCGTTAAAAATGATTAATGGGTATTTCAGTCTAATAATAAGCGGGCGTATTTTTTTTTGCTTTGCAGACCTCGTACTACCGTTGTCGAGACAGAAAAAGGGGCCTACGGATTCCAAAATACATGGTAATTCAATGCTTTGTGTACCTGGTGAATGGTGTCGCTAGATAATTCTTAATGCAAATGCATATGTTTTCCTGTTTTAGAATAAAAAGTATTCAAGAGAATTAACAAGCTATTTCGCGGAGCCGGAGAATTTTACGCTGAAACCGATCGCTTCATCTCCCCTGTACGCCCAGGACAGCAGTATTATGATCACCCCAACCTCGTCTCCAACGAAGCAAATGGATTCAGGAATCGAAATCGTCGAAGGCTTTGAAGAAAACAACAAGATATCAGACCTGGAAAACGGCAGATTGAATAATTTAAGCCCTAAAGCACAGGACGAAGGAGTTTTTCATTTAGATTATAATTCCGACCTCGATTTGAACTCTATTGAAGACGATCTTTTATAGGAAAAAAAACACTTTGGCATGTACAGTCTTTTAAACTTTCAAAGTTTGTAAATGAAGCCGCTCGTACGTGGACCACTTACCAAAACAAACATTTATTTATTGCCTTGTATTTAGATCCTAGAGTTGTATTATCTCCTTGAATATATCCATGTAGAAACAGGTCTTGTATATTTTTGCATATATTAAGACTGTGTTACGCAGATGAACAATTTTTGCACGTTGTTCCAGCTAACATGAAGTTAGGAAGATACGAAATTCAACGAAAGGATGTATTAAAATGGGAAGAGATGGATCTTATAAGATATTAAAGAGATTGTTTAATAGAGATATTTGCAAATTCAAGCGCAAGCTATTCAATAAGGGCGGACGGCGGTCGCAGTCCTTGAAGCGAATCGCGTTCATGAAGTAAACAAACTTTTTTCGAACTGATGCTTTACCGCGCAAGTTTGGATTTCGCGGCAAAATTCATTTTTAACCAATCAGATGCAAGTATAGCTGACGTCACGATTCTCGAATAAGAGTCAAAATGGCGGCCATGTTTCTTGTGAGTTGTACTTTTGCAAAACTATGAGCGATTTTGCGAGCAAACTCTCCTTTCTAAGGCCTGTTTCGGCCAAGAAGAAAAATAAGCATCAGCTTTTCTCGCCGGCTGTAAGGTAGGTTGATATTTTTTCGTGAATTTGTGGCGTGAAAAGGGTGTAGTCATAGATGAATCGAAGGTGAGAGACGAAAAATTGGACTATCAAACAAAAAATAAGGTGGAAGTTCGTTGCTTTGTGCTTTGCCTTCTTAGCGAAGATATGTTAGTTTCTAAAAAGAACATCATTTATGACAAACCCGTTAACTTGTGGGGGCTTTTTTGCTTACACTCTTGCAGCCTGTATGGCTTGGCTGTAAAAATTTACTAGGACCTTTCCAGAGACATGTTTTTTCGAGCTTAATTGAAGCTTTAAATTGTTATTGTTTGCGACGGAGGCGAAGCTTGTTATCTGCCAAGCTGGGGACCCATTTGTTTTCTAAAAATATTGATGAGAGTTTTCTTCAGAACTGTGAGGAAATTATCGATAAAACAATCTTAAAAACACGTTATTCCATACAATTCACAAGGTTGTTAGCTTACGTCCATGGAAGTTCAAGGTCCTCCAAGTCGTGAAGTTGACATTTTGATAAAATTATTCAAGCTTAATATGTATCTTTTATAGCAAAATTGTTTCCTTCATCGCTCGGAGCGTTGTTTATAAAGATAATTTCTTTGAAACCCAATTTAACTCGTTTAATTTTGGAAGCCGAAGAGTTTTTTTGTGTGTACATCGCAAGTTTCCAAATACGAGCAATAACCGGGCAACCAATGTTGCGATAAGGAATGATTCACTTCAATTTTCTCAATGAAATGGGTTGTAATACACAAATGGGGCCGATGATTATTTTTCTTTTTCGGTTAGTGAAAGCGGTTAGATCAAGCAGAACCGACCGATTAAAATTCACCCATAATGTGTTTTTGTCACTTCCCATGTCACTTTCTTTACACTTTTTGTTCGCGCGGAAATCCTTTCGTCTCCATGTACCTTGAGATTACGTTCTGTAGTAGCATTCATGTGTTTATTTGCATATTGGTCCAATATTTTAGTTGATTTCACCTGTATGTTTTAATTTCATTCGGCTCGCATTGCAGTTTCTTGGTCAGAAGAACCCTTATATTGCCCGGGTTTTCGTGACCCTTTTAAGAGCTAGACTCACAAATTTACTTTACGGGTGACATTGCGCTACGGGTGACAGGAAACTCTCTCCGTTTCTTGCGAAATTATCATCTGATCCATTATTACATGCGTCTGGGTTCCTGTTTTTCTTCCTCTGCTATCTTTGATGCCAGAAATTTAAAAGGGAGCACGTGAACTCCCTAGATAAGACAGCAATGTTTTATTAACATCGGTGTAACCAGTACTCATTCAATTTGTTCAAGAAAACGTACTGTAGAGTAGAGTTGGAAATTTCTCGTTCTGATTGTTTGTATTAAAAAATAATAAGTTTAGGAAGGAATATTCAGTCTAAGAAGCAATTTCCTCCAGAACTTGACATTACAGTAGTATGTTGAGCAAGATAGTCAAGTCCAAATGTATCCCAAACGTGTCATCTGCTGTGAAAGTTGCAGTTTATCTGCTCTTGAAAGTGACTATGGTAAATATGATACCAAACATGATGTAGTTGACGTGGGGGAAGTTAGCTTTCAAGGTTTCGAGTCACATAAATGGAGAAATGTAATGGATTAATTACTAGTTTTACTATTAGTGTTATTATTATTGTCATTGAATATGGAGATTCATGAATTAGAGTGTTGGGAATTGGTTTGACCAGACTGATTGATCATTGATTACAATCAGAGATATCTCTTTAAAAGAATTCCAGTTATTTTTCATGCTGGTGTTCCTCATGCTGGCAACATATAAAGGAAGCAATTGTGAGAAAGAACCCTGGGAACAAAGTGGAATTTCAAGCAAATTCCTTGAGCCATGAGCCACGTTTTCTGATTGCATGAAATAGGTTTGAAAATCTCTTTTACAGCTATTTGACAGCTAATTGTCTAGGTTTTTGAATGATTTGTAACATTAATAACGTAATTTTTCCTGCAATGCACACATTCAAATGTGAAAACCATTACAAACCACCATTGTACCATGGTTTAGAACCTACAAAAAACATACGAGATGCATCAGAAAAGTGTCATCAATGGATTGCAGACATCATTGACATTAAAAGGACAACACACAAGTTTTAATTTGTTAATTTTCATAAATATAAAGTTTTTGTTTTTTGGCAATAACCGATTGAATATTTTCCATTATTGATTATCGTGTTGCGTAAGGTTTTCGATTGATGATCAATTGTAATCAATGATTGACACACCATTAATGTAAATTGCAAGAAATTCAGATATGAGGATCATATTTCTTTCACTGGAGATGCAAGGCTTATTAACTACACGAACTCTTATAATGCTAACTACTGGCTTTCAAGGAGATGAAATAGATCTAGAATAAAAGCTGAGCTAACCAGGCCTTCTGATAGGGTGCGATGAAAAAGTGCAAATTATGCGGAATTTGCAGGGCAGATTATGTGATTAGAAAGGCCAATTATGTGATAAATAATGTAAATTATGTGATTTTTTTCTGAGCAATGTTAAGCTTGTTTTATAAGGTTTTAGGATAAGAAAAACACTTTTTTGCTGCCCTAAAGACATTTTGAACACAAAGGAACAGTAGTTATGCATCTTGATTGACATTAGTTGGGATAAATAAAAAAAA